TTCTTTCGATTTCTAGTCTTCGATTGCAAGTAGGTTGAATATAAGAATAGGGTAGGTGTCAACGACTCTGGGTTGATTAGAGTGAATCTGAATAAAGGGTTCACGAAGGATCCTTTCATTTTTCCTTCTCAAGCCAAACAAGTTTTTTATGTGCATGATCTAGCTAATAAGGAATGGTCTATTATTTTGTGGAGTAACAAGGAAGTTAAGAAATGAAAGATGCTGAAAAAGAGCAAAGTCGAAGAAATGATGAGGTTGAAGTTGATCCATTTTATGGGACATAATTTAAAAATGATGATGGTGTAGACATTATTAAAGATAATGCTTTCTATGTAAGATGTGATCATAATAAGGGAATTTTTAGATTTTTAAGAGGGGAAAATCAATTCAACAAAAGAAGAAGGTTGTTAAAGTGAAGAAGACATTAGAAAAAAAGTAGTTAAAATAAGAAAAAGAAGAAGAACAACATAAATAGGTAGTTATGTTATTGTTGACTTATTAAAGAAAGTGCACATGTTATTATTTTTTTCATTTGTTTTTTGACTTATTCTTTTTTTAGTTATATAATCTTGATTATTATTGCTTTCATAGGTAAATGGCTACTGAGCATGATAATCTTGATACTGGCTTTAGATCCAATAGTCTGATTAGGCAAAATTATGACCTGGCTAACAAGAAGGCTAATCTTAATAGGCAGGAAGAACAATTGAAGAGGGGGTTGGTTATGATGGAGGATGTTACTAAAGCAAGAAATGAAGGAAAAAAGTTTACTGTCAAGTGAAACAATAAGAATCAAGTGGTTAACAGTCATAACTTCATTAGTTATATTAGCGTGGCAATGAAATCCTCAGTGTCTATTACTTTGAAATCTTCGAAGAATGCAACTTTCACAATGAAGGATGCAGTGTGGAGAACTTTAATAGTAAGATACTATCACTTTACTTATTTTTTAAAACTTGTTTTATAATCATTCGTTTAAATTGACATGTTTGTCCTATAGTCAGGATTTGAGATCGAGGAGAGGTGCAAGAAATTTGTTCCACAGAAAGCTGGGATAGCTCTAAGATCTTTTAAAAGTGTTGTTACCTGTAAATTCTTGGCGAACCCTGACATACAGGGTATCAAAGATACAGTTTCTTTCCTCATTTTGACAATTGTAAGTGAAGATAAATGGAAAACTTTTGTCAACTTACACTACAGTACAGAGTTTAAGGTAATATTAATGTTATTTTATTTATGTATTGTTGCTTTTGTTGTTACCTCCTTTTTATATTAATTGACTTGTCATGTTTTGTGTTTTTTTAAAGGCATTAAGCATAAAAAATAAAGAGTTGGGGAAGAAGAATGAATATATATATAAGGCTAGACGCAGGGGATATGTGGGTGTAGAAAAGGGCTTGATTGAGAAAGAGCAAGCATTGGAGGGTTCTATATCTTGTGGCACGATTTGGGCTAAGGCTCAAAAAAAATAAAGAAGGCAATATTGACAACCTAAAAACAAAAGCGGTTGTCAAAACAATAGTAAGTATTAATGATATATTGATATAATGTTATTAGTTTTTACTTGTTCACTTTGCTTTTTCTGCTTCACAGGAGACTTTAGCTTAGGAGGCATTAGCAGGTACTCAAACTTTTGATGAGGATGTATTAGAGAAGGCGTTGTGGAATATTGACTATCCCAATTGTATTCAGGGCATTGGCTTTGGAGTCACAAGAAAATATTACTTTAGAGATAGGCTCAAGCGTAGTAAAAAGGATGCTTCTTTTGCTGAGGTTTAAGAGTTTAGGCAAGAGCTAGTAGAACATAAGCAGCAAGTACTAGCACAATCACAACAAATATAAGAACAATCTAGTCTCATAGATATGCTATTGAGCTGGCATAAGTTAGAGCTTTCACTGGATGATAGTAGCTCTAGTGTGAATGATAGTTGCATAATCCCATCTCAGCTCTTACTTAAGTATTATTATTCATTTTACTATAGTCTTACACATAATACTACTTTTATTGTTCATATTACATAATTTTTTTCTTTTTTTTAATTTGTGTAGGGTGAGGCTAATGTTGATTGTTTGGCAGAAGATGACATGTGGTTATACTAAGGTGTATGTGCAACATTGCTAGGCAAGTAATGCTTCACAATGAACACATCCTTAAAGGGATAGTGAAAGTCTATTTAAAGACAGTCGAGGATCCTAATTATGATCTACCCTACCCCACTCCGGATGCAAGGACAATAGTAGATTCATTGCTCTGCTTTGTTATATGATTGGTTCGTCTTTTTTGTATTTTAGCATCATCTTCAAAGGTATATTTGTTAAACTCATAGTTGAAAATTAACTTCTTTTGCTCTTTTTTTTTTGTAATTGATATCTAACTATCTTATATGTTGAAAAAATTAGCCTGTTGATAAGCTTGTGGGAAAGAAAGCATCGGAGGCTATGAAAGCATTCATTGCTAAGCGGAAGAGGGGAAATGATAAGAAGAGCTCTAAAAAATTCAAGGAGTCCATCACATTTTCCCAGAAGACACTGGTTCGCTCCTGAGCCTATCTACCTAAAGCCCCTTAGCCTTAAGCCTCTAAGCATCAAGTCACACCCAACAAAAATCAGCAATTGCTTAAGACCTATGCCAAGATGCAAGAAAGAGTGCTGTTCCCTTTCCCTGTGGACATGTATGCTAATTTATAGTCTTTCCCTGTGTAACTTAAATATGAGATATATTTTTAAAACCTCTCATTAAACGTTTAGCTACACACACACACACACACTAATCATCTATTGTTCTATTTATTTCGACATTTAAGAAACCTTTATACTATTATGCTTGCTGGAAGAGATATAGCATAGAGGATTATATTTGTCAGTTCTCATGTGGTCTCTTCTTATGGCCACGACATAATGAATCCTAAACAAGGACTAGAAATATCTCAGAAGCTTTCAAAGTACTTCTAGTAACATGGTGCCAATAAGAACACAATATTCATAGCACTTTATTATAAAGGGTAAGTTACTTTATGATGCTTTACTTTAATTTATTCAAATTTAATTATTTATATGATACTTCCTAATTGTAATTTTTGTCATAGGGGACACTGGATGTTACTTGTGATCAATCCAACTTTAAGGAGGGTATGGTACCTTGACCTTCTTTATAGTGGCCATCCCTTTAACAGACCGCATATTGTGAAAATGATTAATCAATAAGTTGATCAATTTTCTTGCATATATGCATGTAATTTGTTCTTTGTGTATGGATATTTCTCATGTCAAGTTTTTTATTTTACGTTAGGGCCATTGTCATGTACCGTACTGATGTTGATCAATAATTTCAACAACTAGTAAAGGGCAGTGGTTGGTTTGATATAACAGCATCATGGACAGTTGTCAAGATATATATATATATATATATATATATATATATATATATATATTTCTCATTAATTATGTTAGCAATGTCACTGTATAGGTCATGTCATATTATTAATTAACTATTCAGTTTTTTAATCCATTATATGATTGTAGTGCCTAGAGCAAGTAGACAAAGTTAGGGATTGTGCGTACGCTGTCATGAAATTTATGAAGAACATAATCCAACATGCTTTAACTGGAATTCTTCCGAATGATGTAATATATATGGTCTTCCTATTCATTAATATTATATTAGTTTTTATCAATAAACATGATTTTAATTTGTTATTGTTATTGCATATAGTACTATAAGGACGCATACTATAACACGTGTACTCATGCTCAAATAGAAGAAGTCTTTGAATAGTTGGCACACGGTATTTTTGAAGCATAGTTTAGGTTTAACAGTAAGCAACAGTGATAGTTAGGAAACTTAGACAAATTTTGGGGTTTAAAGCTTTATGTTTTAGCCACTAATTAGTTTAATTTAAGTACTTCAAGTTGTATATAATTTTTTTATAGGAATTCATTGTACATTTATATGTATATACATGATTATTATTGGTTGGAATTTGTGTTTAAGTGTTGGAACATCTTTTTGTAATTTATAATGCAAGGGGTTGCTAGAAATGCAATTTGTCCTATGCAAAAAGTTAGGTCATAATATTCAACAATTATAAGAAAAAACCATTGAATATTATGACTAATAATACAATAAAAACTATTCAGCGGTTGTGTCACAGAACCACTGAATAAGTATATATATTCAACGGTTATAAGTGAATAACTATTGAATAATAACAAAATATTCAGCGAATTTTAGTCGAGAATCATTTAATATTATCTCTCATAATGTCTCATTTTTAAATTGAAAAAATTTATTCAACAGTTTTTGACTAAAAACTGTTGAATAAATTTATAATATTCAATGATTAAAAACCGTTGAATAAAGAGTTTTAGAATATTCGGTGCTAGATTATTCAATAGTTCATAACTATTAAATAGTAAAAAAATAACCATTTCGTATTTTCTTTTTTTATAGTAGTGATACTTTGTTTCAGCGAAAGGCAAAAAATACTTAACTAACAATAACTAATTTTTCTATATTTATTTTATCAGTATAAAAGTTTATTAATAATTCACTGGTATCAAATGGCTATAATGTATAAATGATAGTGGCTTGAGTCCTTTAAGTATCATGAAAGAGTTTCATTTTTAAAGATAAGTATGACGAACATTGTTTGAAAGAAGATAACCCTTCAAATTTCTCAAAGGAATAGTGTCATAGCTATTGGCTGCACGGATATACCTTCAAAAATCTAAAAAAAGAAATTACGGGTCAGAATTGCCACAGCTCCAGCGGTGAGGTCACCAGTCTCTCCTGGTGATGATATTTGTTTTTTTTTTTATTTTCAAAAGGGAAATATAGTTATTTCTGAAAAAAAATGTAAATAAGATTCCTTTTTTTTGGGCCTGGATATGGATTTAGGAACTTAAATTAACTAATGTCAATTTTTTTTTTTTTACATGAGTACTTACATGTCACTCTCCCTAAAGAATGGACTCAAGTAACAATAAAGAGACGAAGCATGCACACATACAGTCGCCATTCTCGCTTGCTAGCTCATTACTGCTTCTCACCATTCAGCCATGCTTCGCCTTCTTCTTCTTCTTTCAGCATCCCTGCTCTGCAGCTTTTCACTGTTGCAGCAACCTGCCTTTGCCATTAAAAAGGTAAGCAAACCATAACTTGGTTCGTGACTAATATTCTCGTCTTCATCGTCGTCGTCAACGTTAATTCATTAATTTCACGTGACAGTCGTACGTTGTATACTTGGGATCACATTCTCATGGTCCAAAACCTTCTTCTACTGATATGGAACTTGCGACAAATTCCCATCATCGTTTGCTTGCCTCTGTATTAGGAAGGTACGTACGTACTTGCACTAATTCCCATTAATTAGTTAGTTAATTTCTGGTAAATAATCGTAAATTTCAATCCTTGTAATTGTCTTTTGGTAGTCATGAGAAGGCCAAAGAAGCTATCTTTTGCTCTTATAACCGGCACATCAATGGCTTTGCTGCATTACTCGAAGACAAAGAAGCGGCTGAGATCGAAAGTGAGATTATCATAAGTTCCGTCAACCGGTATTTTAATAATGGAGTGAAGTGTAAAATTACCCATAAATTTTTCTCCATCCTTAAATCAAGTAAATGTGTACCTATTAATTTTATAAAAGAAGCCAACATTTCTTAATCCATGAAAATAGCCTTATGTTGACGGTTAAGTTTTAAGAATAGAATTTAATATATTGAAGAAATGTTGGCTTCTTTTATAAAGTTAATAGGTATCATGCACCAGTACTATTGTTGATTTAAGGATACAAAAAATTTCTGAAAACATGTTTCTAGGTATTTTTACATCTTAACTCTTCTTGATGTCCCTTGAAATGATGATCTACCTTTCCAATTGTTTACTTTTTTTTAATCATTGTTATCCTTAGCTTGTAAATAAACTGAGAGACACATTTAACATCGTATAAGCGTAAAATAAAAAATTCGTATTTCTTACAATTTTTCAAAGGGAAAAAATCAAAATTATTACAAAATTACATAGTATTTTTCTTTAAAAAAAAATATAAAACTGCAATGTTTCATAACTGCAAGATACCAGAATATCTCTTACTTTACTTAAAAGCTAATCATCAAAAGAAAAATGAAAAAAAATTGAGAAGACAAGGTATTACTATAAATATCAGCGAGCTAGGGCACACAAGTTGAGTCTAGAAAATAAGCTAGTTTCTCATAAAATGTTGACCAATGTTCAAATTTTTGCCAACAGAAAAGTATTCATATTCAGTATCTAATTATATTTTGAACATAATTATCTATAATATAAGATTTAAAAAAAACAGAGGATTGGGGCGTCCGAGAGACCCCATATAAGTTCATTAATTAGCATGAATTCTCGTCGTCATATTGCACAATGTATTTCAGATATTTTTTTCATTAATTAGGCTGCACTATATATATAAATATATATGTATGTATATATTGATGGGAAATTGATCTGATGGATGAAGAAAATGCAAAGGTGGTGTCAGTGTTCTTGAGCGAGTCGCATAAGCTGCACACAACGAGGTCATGGGATTTTCTTGGACAAGAAACCGATGAACGAGTCAGATCTGACTCAGCCTGGTTCGAAGGAAGATTTGGAGAAAACGTCATCATGGGCAGCATTGATACTGGTATGATTTTTAGTTCTTCTATGTACCCAGAATCAATTAATTTTCACCAACCATTATTATGAAACCACCATTGTTCCCCAGAATCAATTAGTTTTAAGTCTGTTTTTTTCACCAACCGCCATTATGAAACCACCATTATTCATAAGTTTTCACCTAAAAGTCAATACTATTCTGAAAAATATATACTCATTTCGTTTAAAAATGTAAAATATTTTTAATCAAATCTCACTCTTAATAAAGTAATTATTTATTTTTAAACTCACTTTATCTTTTCATATGTATTCCTATTAAACACCCTATAATAAATATAAAATCATTTATCAATAGAGGCACTTTAAAAAAAGACAATGATTACATCTCGAAATATTACAAATACATTACATTTTTTAATGGAGAGAATAGTAATTATCCAAATCAATACTTACAACTCATTATTCAAAACATTTTGTTAAAAACTCAATGTTAAGAAAATCAAATTGGTCAATGAATCAGCTAAGGTTCTTTCATAGTTCAATAGTTGAACTATACTAGTTTGAACCATGATTCAATCAGTCATAAATAAATTAATATATTTTATATGCTTAAAATAAAAAGAAATAACAATTATATATAACAAAAATAAAAATGAATTTCTAAAGTTCAATCAAAATAATATAAATTAAAAAGGGTACTATCTATCAATGTTCCATCATTTTAATCCAATATCAATGCTTTTAGAATTGGATTGAATATTAAATCGAAAAGGTTAGCAGTTCATGATTTGCATGGTCCAACTGGATTGAACAATGGTTAAATTGGTGACATAATAATTAAATTAAAAAATTATATATGTATATAATAATTTAAATATAAGAAATAAATATGAAATTAATATTTAACTTAAAAATAAAACTAAATATTTTAAGTTTATCATGACTTAATAAGCCATGTGATGTAATATAACATCAAATAATTAAAAAAATTGATCATTTTCTAAAAAAATTTGACAAAAAAAATAAAGGGGCATTTTTTAAATAGTACAATTTTTGAAAATCGGACCCGATTCCCGGTCCGATCACTGGTTTAAAATAGCCCAATCCGGCCCAACTCTCCAAATAATTTTTTCAGCTTGATTGAATCCTTTGCCGGACCAGTTGACCGTCTGACCGTTTGGTTTGATTCGACTTTTTAATCACTATCCAACATATATACTTATTTCATAATTTATAATTATAACTTTAAAAAATGTACATATATACATGTTCTATACTTATTATTTTTATTATTTTTGTATATTTGTTCATTCTTTTTATTTATCAATGCTTATTAGGCATAAATATATATACGTTGTAGCTCATAAATATGAATTAAATCTTTGAAAAGCAAAGAATTTAAAAATTTAAAAAATAACCAGACTAGATCAACCAATTTGCCCACTAATTTTGCCAATTTTGATAGGTTCAATAGATTCTTTATTGGTTCTTATGGGATAATAGATTAGTTTGAGTTAGGTTTTGACCAAATAGGTCTAAGCTTATATGGTAGGTCAAAAGCCTGAGCTTTTGAAGCTTGTACAAAGTTCTCTAACTTGAACCTATCTAAAGCTTGGCATGACCTGAAGGTTTGTTTAAAAGTTTATTTAAAATTAACAAGCCTTTTAAATAAGATTACATATTAAGCATATTTGAGACATTTAAAACTAATATGTAATCCTATAAAGTGTATATTTATATAACATGATTGATTGATTCCAATAGATAATGATTAAGATGACCTACCAATTGCAATTCAACAATAAAGCAACAACATTAACTCAATATATAAGTCTAATTTGATTAAAAATAAAAAAAGAATAGATTGATTAAAAATTGATGCGTATATAATATTTTACATAATAATATATATGTAAATAGATCGGCCTGACTCATATGTTAAGCTTGAATTATTTAAATATGTTTAATCAAAAGCCTGAACTTAACCTAAATTTATTTAATAAATAGGTTATGTTTGATCTAAAGTAAGCTAGACCATTGACCTTTGACAGGGTCTGGCTTGCTTCTACCCTTACAAGTGGCTTTCTAAATGGATGATTTTTAATCATAAGTAGATCAGACTTGGGACTAGTTCCTAATTTAATTAGTTAAACTAGCCGTTCCAATCTAGCGCTTATAATACTGTGAATGCTTAACTATTATTAATTCTTTGAAACAGGAGTTTGGCCAGAATCGAGAAGTTTTCAAGACGATGGATACAGCCCTGTTCCATGGAAGTGGCGTGGGGGATCAAAATGTGAACTCTACAGTTTATCTGGCTCCTCTCATGTAACTCTCTGCAACAGGTTTGGTCCCAATAATTATTTCATGCTTGCTTTTCTCACCAAAAAAAAAAAAAAGTACATGAATGTTCTTCAGTAATCTTTTCAAACGGAACTGGATTCATTCATTTTACTAGCAAAAACTGTACGCACGTACAAATGCTAGAACAAAAACGAAAAAATAAATTCAATCATCAACCTCCATCTGCCGGAAATTAAAGAACAACAATAATTTCAAAAAGAGGAAATTTATGTTAACGATAATTTTTTTAAAAAATAAGCAGCAAATATTGATTCCAATAGTTGTAAATATAAATTTACATTGTACATTGAGAGTTATATTCAATTTAAAATTTAAATATTTTATTTGCAATTGAAACTTATGAATTTATAATTATTAAAATATATTAGTAATTTTTTTAATTTTTTTGTTGAAAATTCAACTATAATTCTTCCTCTTAAATATTATAGATGTTGCATATTTTATTCTCAAGGGATGGCAAAACGATCTGATAATAATTTTATATTTTATATTTTTAGGGCTAACCGCATTTAAGTGTCATACAAGAACATCAGTTACAGCTAAAGACTAAATTTTGGCATTCTAAAAAAGGTCGTTAATCGAAATTGAGGTTTTTTTTTGTTAAATATTTTAGTGCTCTTATTATACATAACATATTTAATATTTTAATACTTAAGTTTATTCTTTTAGTGCTTATGCTTAACAATTGCAGTTCTCATTTTCCTTTCAATTGCCAATATTCTTATTTAATACTTATCTTTTACTTTTTTTTTAATATTGAAGATATAAAAAATGAGCATTGAAAAAATCAACTCAGAAAAAAAATTAATTCCAACTAAAAAGTTTGGTCTTTTTTCTTAATTTTCAAAACTTAAGATTCTTAATTATAATTAATATAATGCATTTTTTTTTAACATGCTCCGTCGTTGAAATAGGAAGCTAATCGGAGCAAAAAGTTTTTACAAAGGCTACGAGACGAAGCACGGAAACCTAAGTAGTTCGTCAACTCAAATCAGTGCACGCGACTTCGACGGACACGGAACACACATCATCTCGACGGCCGGCGGCAACATGGTACAGGACGTAGGTATTCTGAACAACGGCAACGGCACGGCCAAGGGCGGATCTCCGAGAGCTCGTCTCGCAGTTTACAAAGCTTGCTGGCCTCTGGATAATTCTGCAGAATGCACTGACGTCGACTTGCTTTCTGCTTTTGATCAAGCCATTGATGACGGCGTCGACTTGCTCTCTGTTTCCGTCGGCCGGATCGCCGGCCGGAACGATACGCACATGTTGACCAATGGGATCTCCATTGGGTCCTTCCATGCAGTCTCAAGAGGCATACTTGTTGTTGCCTCTGCTGGTAACGACGGACCTGAACTTGAGACCGTGACGAATGTGGCGCCTTGGATCTTCACTGTTGCTTCTGGCTCCATTGATAGGGACTTCACGAATAATGTTACGCTGGGTAACGGCCAACACATACAAGTATGAATATGTAACTCTTTAACTTTTTACACCCTGTCAGTTTGTTTAAAATTTAAAAATAAATAATTTTAAATAGTTTAGAGATTTTACAAAAATAGATATATTTTGTAGAGATTTTATAAAAGTAACTTTTTTAATGTTTGGTTATAATAATACACAAAGTTATTATTAATTAGTTATTTTTAAATTTTATAATTTTTTATAATTTTTTATAAAAAGTAATTCATTTTTTAATTATTTTAAAATTTTATTATAGATTTATATATCTTGTCTATTTAAAATATTCTCTCTCATTTATTGCATGTGATTATTTTTAAAAGCTACTTAAAGTAGTTTCTTAAAATAATCGAAAATATAATTTTTTTTAAAATTTTGGTTATTTTTAAAAGTATAAACAAACATCATAAAAAAGTTATAAAATATATTCTTTTAAAATAATTTTTTTATAAAATAAGCCAAAACAAACAAGCCCAAAGACATACTTTTTGCATATACAAATCTTTTGATTTTTGTAAAAAGAAAAATTAAACATTTCATCTATATATTTTTGATTTGTTTGTAACTTAACCCTGAACTTTAACTTGATGCATTAGTTTAAATCAGTTATAATTTAATATCTAAACTTTGACTCAGAACAACCTGGTACTTATAGTTTTAGCTAATTAAAATATTAGTTCCTAAACAATAAGAACTAAATTTTAGTATTTATAATTTTATTTTCTAATATAATAAAAATTATTTTAAATAATTGAAATTATAGCTAGGGGCTGAGTTAATTGAGTTAAAATTTAAGAACTGGATTATAATTTTTTTTTCAAATTTTAAGGACTTAGTTGCATTGAGTTAAAATTTAGAGACTGAATTATAATTATATCAAAATTATAGAGACCAGGTGGTTAATTTTCTCTAATGACACATACGTCTCAAAGTAGTTAAGTGTCAAAAGTTTGATGGATTATTGTAATTCAATTTGAGGGACTCGCATGTCATTATATAATTTCTTAAAGATCTAGTTGTTCCTAACAAATATTCTTCTTAATCCTATTTATAAATTACTTTAAACATGTTCTATCATAATTAAATAAAACCTTAAAATTCATCAACCTTTTTGAGGATTATAATAAAATTCCAATTTAATTTTTCCCTATTAAATATAGGTACTCTAATAACAAATTTTGTTCCAACAACATTTAACGAGGAAAAATTTGTGATAAAAAATCTACGACATACTGTACAGGACAAAAAAAATATTTTTCCCTCCATCTTATAAACAGGACCGAAATCATATTGTAAGTTATGTAACATGTTTGAACAATATCTAGTAACTTTTGAGATGATGATCTTCAGGGGACCAGTCTTGCCACAAACTCAACATCTCAAGAGTTAATTCCTGTGGTCATTGCTGGAAATGCCAAGCTTCCATTTGCGACATTTGAAGATGCGTAAGAAATCTTGCCACATATTATTCTCTCGCTTAATATTCCATTTCTCTGTATATATATCAGCTATTGTTTATATACTTAATCCTTAGAATTGATGCCATTACATAACATACGACTCTGGTTGTTCTTGTTGCAGTCAACTGTGTAAAAGTGGAACACTTGATCCTAACAAAGTAAAGGGTCGCATATTGGTGTGCCAAAGAGGAAGGAGCCTGAGGCCTGTGGACAAAGGCCAAGAAGCAAAACGTGTAGGAGCATCGAAAATGATTCTGCAGAATGATAAAAAGTTTAACACAGCTACAGCCGATGCTCAAGTTTTAGATACTTCCATTGTTCCTAGTAGTGACCCTGAGGATGAGAATGAAAATAGCTCCGATGAGTATATCTACAAAAACAAGTAATTATTAATTACAAATACATGCCAGGCCTTTTAAGTTTTAAATTTATATGTTTACAAGGACAGGCGCTCCATTTTTACATATATTGCATGCAGGAACCCACTTGCATTCTTGGATAATGCAAAAACTATTATCCCAGTAAAGCCAGCTCCAAAAGTTTCTTTATTCTCATCCAGGGGACCCAACTTGATTCTGCCCTCAATTCTCAAGGTTAAATATATTTATTTTCGCATCTATCATCACTTGCTTTTTTATTGCTTGTGCCATACCTATCACTTGGTTCTGCCATAGGTTTTTTTTTTTAATATAACCAAACTAGTATACGTACAACTGATTAGTCTCCTAGGTTTTTCTTGTATGGAAATAAGTAAAGTCTTGTAATGTACTGTCATGTGCCAAGTAGAACTAGCGCCTTGATATCACTTGTGTCAACAACAACATTTTGAAAGAGCTTAAGCTTTCTCTACTACAAATATTATCAAGAGCCAGAGGTAAAATCGTTTGGGAGATGATGACTGGTTGAATAATTCTTTGGTTATTACTTATATATAAAAGGATTTGGATTTTGTGATTGTTGGTATTGAATGCCTGTATCAGCTGAGTAGTTGAAATTCATATCAACGATTCAGATGAATTTACTGATTCATTAATTTCAAATGGAATATAAATTTAGAATGATTAATTCGAATTTTAATAATTTAGATGATATATACACTTAGTGCTTGTATTAAGTACAGTTACTAAATTCAAATCCATATTTAAAGAAGTAATAAAAAAGAAATCGTTTGATGTTCTTAATGTTTGAAATTTATGTGTGGGTTGATATTAATTATTTCATTTATTTGCTAAAATAGGTTAGCTAGTGGTCGTTGAAATATTACCCAACTACATTATATGTTCGTATAGTTGATGAGCCAGACATATAATCTGTTTAGTCTAGCTAGTAGCTAAAGTGTGTGACATTAATCTTTACTAAAACTTGGTAGAGGATGGCCCTTGTAATAAATTAAACATTAAATAAGTAGGCCCCCTCTTTAAACCCTACACACTGTATGTCTTCCATATCAATAAGTCACATAACCCTAGAAGGGTACAGAGAAAAAGACTTAGTTTGACTAGTTTAGTATAGCATAGCAACCATGATGTGCAAACTTAATTAGTATTTTAATTACCACGTGTTTTATCTCATATATACTAGATCCTCTCCTCATAGAATCTAATTTTGATTAGATCTTTCAATTAGTTTCAGAGTCTGTTCCATATGAGTTTAGAAAATGTGGTGAGATCTGTTTTTTTTAATACCCTGTTGTTATACACACACGTAATTACACTAGTCAGTACATGCTTATGATAACTAAAAGATTGTTTGAAATTGTTCATAATTGCAGCCTGACGTGGCAGCTCCTGGTCAAAATATAATTGCGGCTTATTCATCAGAACGTGGATTTGACTATAATATTCTGTCAGGAACTTCAATGGCATGCCCACATGTTGCTGGCATTGCTGGTCTCCTCAAAAATCGCCATCCTAATTGGACTCCTGCTGCTATCAAATCAGCAATCATGACCACTGGTATAATTATATATAATATACCTCAAATTATTGTCATGTTCATAGTTTGCTTCCCTTATTAATTAGGGAAATTACACATAAGTTCAAGGGATTTATTTATAATTCAATCTTACGAGCATGTGAAAATCCTCACAAGTTTCTTGACATTTTGTTGTAATTAATTTTTCTAGTAATATGACTCAAATAACTTTCGATTATTCCCCTTTGATCGAAGTTGACTAGCATTGACCAATCTTGTCAGTTGTTGACCGATTACAGGTTGACATTAAATGGTGCCTAGCAACTGTTGATTGATCAATTTTTTTAAATTTTTTATATTAAAATATCAGTATCTTAATATTTACAAGTAATCAATCTCTTACAATTAATATTTACTTATAATTAATATTACTTGTAAATTTGCTATGTTTGATTATTAAATATTAAAGCATTAATATTTTAACAAACTATATTCTTATGAAAAAAATTGACTGATCTGATCGATGCTAGTCAAATCAAATGCAAGGGTATATGTGATATTTTACAAACAAAATTAATTATAACTAAGTCTCAAGGAACTTGAAAGTATGTTAACAAATTTACAGGATTCACTTGTAAGTAAATCCCTTATTAGGGAGTAATATATAATTTTCCCTATATATATATAACTACTAAGAGCTATTATAGACATTGAACTCTATGGTTATATAATCCAGCAACCACTTGGGATAACACCAACGGACCAATTCTGGACGAAAGCGATAATCAAGTAGCTACTCCATTACATTATGGTTCAGGATATGTTAAGCCTAATCTTGCAATATACCCTGGACTTGTTTATGATCTGGAGGCTGCTGATTACCTGAACCTGTTATGTGCTTCTGATTTCGAGGAAAGAATAGTTGTGTCACTCAATTATAACAGGCCATACAAGTGTCCAAAGTTTTACAGGCTGCAAGATTTCAACTACCCTTCCATCACTTTGCCTCTTCTGGGGGTGGAACCTGTGAGTGTTTCTCGCACAGTCACAAACGTTGGAGCTCCAAGCACGTATTTTGTAAATGTCAAAGAACCAAGAGGAGTTAGGGTTATTGTTCAGCCTAATACTTTGAGTTTTCAGAGGACGAATGAGAAGAAGAGCTATGAGATAATCTTGCAGGCAGAGGAATATTCAGCTCACAAGTTAGAAGCTGATTATTCATTTGGAGAGTTGACGTGGACAGATGGCATGCACGAGGTCAGGAGTCCTATTGTGATTTTGAAATTTATGAGAAATTAATGATTACTATGCAGATTTCTATATGTATGTTACCAAAGTACACTGTGTGTTGTTGTGATATTGTGTGAGGCAGTGTTAGTGTTTGTGTTTGAACATGTGAACGGACTGATCTACTTTCTGGTCTTATCAGTTTGTCTATGATAAGAAATTTTAGGGCCTATTTAATTATAAGGAAAAAAGAGAGATGTTTTGGAATGAAATGAAAAGATTGGAAAGGAATGGAAATAAATATAATGGAATGACTGCTAGTTATATTTTGTATGATACGGAAAGGAAGAAAATTACTTTTATTTGTATATATTTAATTAGATAAAAATAAAGTAAATAACCAGATTGACCCTCACTACTATAAAAATGAGATTTGGTAGTATACATTTTATAGTAATTAAAAATGAAATACCACTAAAATGACAGTTAAATTATATTAGGTGGCTTTTCTTTAATGAAATATCGCCGCTTATCAATTATTTTTTATTTGCAATTTTATTAAAATAACAAGAGGTGGCGTTTTTTTATGAAATATCACAAGTTTTTGTCACTAAACAATTTCATGCTTTGTAAAAAGAAATGCCACCTAATACATATGATAATATTACAAAAAATAATTTTATTTGTTATGATTGTTATTATTATTATATACTTTTTTTAATACAATTATTATAATTTGATTTTTTATTGTACTTATTTTTGTTATTAATATAACCATTTTTATTGATTAATAATCCAAAATTTTACTTATATTTAATTAAGAATTATTTCTATTATAACTATAGTAATTATTAAAATATTATTATTAATTTTAGAATCAATTATAATATAAATTAATTGGTTAATTAATAATTATTATTAATATATCACAGTAATTTAAGACTAAAAATATAAAATTACAGATATATTTTTTCAAAGTTTATTTCATAATAAATATAACATTTAGTGCATGATTTATTTAATTAACCCTAGGTGGCGTTTTCTGCTCGAGGAAACTCCACCTAATAATTTTCATATATTTTATAAATATATGTTATCTTTAATAATTACTTTACAATAAATATAATACTTAACTAACATTTTATTTAATTCATCTTAGGTGGAAAACACCACCTAATAGTTTTCATTTAATTTATATAGAAATATAATTTTAAAATAATTATTTTATGATAAATATAATGTTTAATAAATATTTTATTTAATTAATTTTTGGTGGCGTATCCTGCATGAGGAAACGCCACTTAAGATTTTTAATTTATTTTTATTCAGTAGTCAATTATTTTTTAAAGATATATTTTTTCAATAATTATTTTATAATAAGTATAATATTTAATAAATATTTTATTTAATTAATCTTAGGTGGTGTTTGCTCTGTGTTTTTTTATTAATTTTGATTTGATAGTTAGTTATTTTATTTTAGAATTTATTTTTTATTAAATATTTATAATAAATATAATATCTAATAAATATTCAATAAATTTTAGGTGGCATTTCCTACTTGATGCTACCTAATAATTTTTATTTATTATATATAAATGTAAATTCATTTAAATAATTATGTTATCATAAATATAATGTTTAGTAAATATTATTAGATTATTATTATTATTTGTTAGAATTTGCAGGTTATGAAAGTATCACCTCTTTAAAGTGTGTGTGTGTATATATATATTAAATAATATTTTTTAAATATTAAATATTAAAAAAATTATCTAATGAGAGAGGTGACATTTTCAAATAATAGAAATGCCACCTCTCTCGTATAAATTAATCTTTTATTATTAATATTTTTTTGAAATATATAGATATTACTATTTATTATTAAATATTAAATATTAAATAAAATATTTAAATGAAAAAGGTGGATGGAAACGCCACTTCTCTCTCGTGTAGGCTGTGACCTGTATGTCTTGCTTATTTTTAAAAAAAATTTTCATCATTTAAGTTCTAGACTGTAAACTACACCCCCGAATTTCAGATTTGTTGCTAATTCGAACCCTACCCCCAAGCTTCTCTCCCTCGCCTCCACCAGCTCTCCAGAAGCCTTTGCGCTGGTGATCATCAATCTAGCCCTTGTCGCCGCTATTGACCGCCTGCTTCAATCTCCTTCTTGAATCGCATCGTGCGTCTTGTCCTCGTCCGTGTCCCTTTGCTATAGAAGTCTACGTGTCCATCTCTGTCGACCGCCGGCATTTGTTCAGCCATCGTCCACAGTCTCACCACTTCAGCCTTCATTGATTCCACAGCGTCACCACCTATCGTCATCAACCCCGTCTTGCTTCATTGTCACTCGGCTTCCGCTTCAGCTTGCTGCTTGGGTTGTCAAGTTCGAACCCCAGATCTAGCATAGTTATACAAACACAAATCATTGTTATATATTTTTACATTAATTTATTGTCAGAATGATATTCTGATAGTATTTTATCGATTGAGTAAGATATTGAATTTTTAGTCTAACATTTTCTAGCTTTTAATAGTTTATATACTGTGAACAAAGCAAAACATTGGAAGAATTCTCTGTAGCGTATGCATTGAGAACCTATTCATCACGTCCAACAGCTGGCAAATCTTCTTCCTTGTTGGATTTGGACGATCCCAACTACACTATAACATGACTATCAAGCATTATTCCTGATTTTCCAGTATGTTTCAATGCTTTATATCTAGTATACTAGATTCTTTACTGTGTATGTAGCCATATACGAATCGTTTATTTGTACATTTTGATGTACAATTCATTTATTTCTAACGTGCTTCTAGCTGAGCACTAGAGAAAATCACCTTGGTATCGTTTGTGATCTTTCATTGGTGGCTGGTAATTATGTAACTTTTGCCAACATCCAATTAGTATTCATTCTCATCAAGAGGTTGTCTTGCACTCCGTATGTCAATCTTTGTTGACAAAAGGATATTTGTTTTGTATCTAATGACTCATAATTCTCATTATGAGACTTGTTAACAACTTTAGTAACTCCAACAAATGCTTAAATTATGAAAATATAAATTGTGGTGAAAGTGTTGACCTAGACTCATGCTGTTGTAGCCCATCTTGCTTTGTCTTTGAGATCCTCATATTTCGCCAATTCTTCAGTTCATCTGCAATAGGATTTCACTTTCAGGGAGCCGGTAGAGTCTAACTTGCAAAAACTCTAGGAGTTTAGTTCATTTATATGCTTCACTGCTAATGCCTTAATGTTAGTTAGTGTCTTCTTTTTTGGATATTTGATGTCTATTATCTTGCACGAGGTTAGTCCATGAAAAATTGTCATGTTCATGTTTATGAAAAAGCTCATGTCTGGGCATATCTTTATTTTAATATTGAAGTGATTCATTTTTTTGAATCTATTCATTATTATGATATTTTATGGTTTAATTAAATTATTTTTCTTTTTTTTTGCAGGCATGAAAGTTCTAACTTTTTAGTCTTAATGTTGCCTCACTCAAATTTATCTATCCAATAATATTCTTATACTCACAAATAGTTAATACAAATAGCTTGTATGTTCAAAGACTAATTGTGTATTCTTGATAATCATAATTATGATCATAATTTATTTGACAAGTTATTTTAATTATAAAATGTATTTGATAGCGATGATACTATCAAAATTTCTGAGTTTGGCAAATTATTTCTTGATTTATTAGAGAATATGTAGTGTTAAAAAGAAATTTTTTTTTTTAAAAAAAATTATGCATATAGGAGCCCTTCTCAACAGAAGTGCTCCCATAGACTCTCTCATCAGAGTGCTTTTAATGAAAGCACTGCTGAATGGTAGCTTATAAGAACATTTATGATGAGAAGCACTTTGGTCGAGGGACTCTATGAGAGCACTCATCAATACTAGTGCTCCTACAGATTTCTCTAATGGGAGCGCTCCTATAAGCTCTCCTTACAGAAGTGCTTAAAAAGTGTTTTCATATATATGAGTGCTAAATATGGAAGCATTTTTTTGATTTTTTTTCGTAGTAATGTAACTTTTTTCTTAATAATTAGATTAAAGAATTTGTAATTCATCACTTTATTTAAATAGAAAAAGTTACTCAATCAATTGATCTTATCCGTTGACTATGTAGAGTTAAAATGTAGAATTGTAAGAGCACATGGTATAATTAAAGGTGACAAAAAAAAAAAAATAACATAAGCGACAGAGTTCATGCATTGATCATCTATAAATTAAGATGGTAGTGCATTCACTTGTGGAAAGTTTCCCTTTGATCTTATCACTATGTATACCAACCAAATGGAGGACAGAAATGCTGGTTTATAGTTGCTCTGGGTAAATAATGCTCATAACAATCTCATTTTGGCCAATCCGAATTTTTTTTTCCTTGCGTTATCGCAAAGTAAATATATGCAAAACCTATAGCTAATAGCTAAGACTCGTAGTGTTCGTGTATAAATATATTTATAAATAGTAGGGCTTTTTTTTTTTAATTTTAGATTTTATATTGACTTCATTGTTTTTCTCTTTATTTTCTATTTAACTTTCTCAGAGTGTTGTTTATTTTTCTGAAGTTTTCTTTTCAAAAAATATGTTCAGCTTTAATTTGAAAATTCCAATCTTTTGGAAAAACAATATATCTATTGGGCTATCCACCCTTGGTGGATCAAGCCCAAATATAAAGCCCAATTAAGAAATAAGGCTTTATCACAAGTATGAGAAATGCTGGATCTTAATGTGCAATTCTCTCAAGTTTTCAAATGTAATTTCCTTCCTTTTAATTTTTGAATTAGGGAGGGAATGGTTAGATAACCGTATCCTACACATTCCCCATTATGTGCATTGTGGATATTACTTATTAGTGAGCCAGCCTCTTATTTTGGAACTGAACGTAACCTTTGGGATTACTCTCTGCTTTCCCCATTCTTTTATCTCTGTGTGTGATATTTGCTGTAAAAAACAAAAATCAAGTTCCGTCACATAACTTTGTTCCCACATACAACATTCATCCGGTACATCATCTAAGGTATGCTGTCCTTCTCCAAATCCTTATAATATCTCTCCTTATGAAAGCAAGCAAGGGATTTTGAGTCCCTGAATCATGGGTATCACAACACTCCAATAATGGTTTTATTATTATATTTTGAAAAAGAAAATAATCTTGCAATTGCAAAGATCTTCTAATTATAAGACTATTACCAAGTTAATTTGGCATCTCGCTAGAAAAATGAATCCATCTTCAAAAGAAGATTTTTTATCACCGTGTTAATAGTTGAAGTAGAAACAATACAGAGAAGATTAGCATGGTCACCATATAAGGTTGACACACATAAATCAAGAAACAAGAATATTTGGTGCTTTATTTTTTTTTCATTACTCTTTTTTATATCTCTTCATTCTTTCATTACTTTTGTTCGTTGATGGAATCTGTTGTGGCCATGTCATCTCCAATGTTGGTGCACCCTCCATTCACGCCATGCAAGGACGTATGTAGGGAGGGGAGAGGGGGGTGCTTCCCCCCAATTTCATCGGTCACTTCTAATTTTTTTCAGAAATTTTTTTTATTTTACTTATAAAAAATGTAAAAATTAGTGTTGGCCCTCCATATTTTAAGTAGTTTTCAATTTTTATCCCCTCATGTATTGGTTTCTGGATTCTTCCCTAACGCCATGTATGAGCTTCACTTCGTAAATTCATTTGTGTCCTCAGCAACAACATCAACACCTATATACCTTCATGCACTAGCAGTGCAGAATAATATTTTTATGGAATCTTTTTACACCAGTTGCAAAGAAAATGATGTTGAAACTATTATTGGTGACATTTTGTAATCATATAACATGTGTAAAGAACTTACTATACTAGTTAGAGAATAAAATGTTGTAAAAAATAACTCTCTATACACTGATTATAAGTACAATCGGTGCAACGCTTTAGCACAAAACAATATAAAAAGGTTATTTGAATTTCTTTTGTTCAGAAAATTCAATTAGTTTTAATATGATCACACTTGTAGATTTGCATCATTTCCTTTTTCGGAGGTCCTTCTTGTTTCATTCGTTTACTTGTTCCTCTTCAATCTACATAGTCTCCTATTCGTTATTTTGATTTCAATTTTTATTTTAGGGTTGGAATGTTGATTTACAGTGTTTGATTGTGATTTATTTTTTCTGGTTTGAAATGTTGATCATCTACAATGTTTGTTGATCTATATTTTTTAAAAAAAAATATTCATTGCTACCATGTGTTGTGACTTACTCATGGTCACTAAAGAGATAGGGGGAAGTGTGGAGCGTTTTTACAAGCATATTTCTGTTATAAATTTCTTTATTTTTAAAATGTAAAAATCATAATTTGATTGTAATAGTGTATATTTTCTTATAATATTCTTCTTTAGAATATAATTTTGATTTTGATTCAGATTTTACTTATTTTTTTTCATTTTAAATTCATTCGATTTAAATAAATAATATATGAGGGGGTTTTTGTGAAAGAAATGTTCTCGTAAGTATGTCACGGGGAGCATTGTGGCACTTATGAGAGATTTTCAGAAGACTCTGCAATTATGAAAATGTCTAAATAAAGTGCATTCCGAAATTGCTTTTATAATGCCTAATTTGACAGTACAGAGGAAGTGAGAACGAAACTTTAAAATTGGACTGTTTGGCATGTTGGAATAGACTTCTCTGTGAAAGTCTTCCACCAAAACGCCTGGAATTGGATGGTGGGTTCCACGGAAGTGACTTTTTTCAGACCATTATGCCCTCAATTTTATAATTTATTGACATGTTTGCCCATCACATTATCATAACCCTATCTTTCTAAACAGTCCAATGGCCGCCCTCTCTCAGAAACCTCCAGTGACGAGAAACTGCCATCCACCTCCACCTGTCATGATGACGGCGACGATATAGTGGCAACAAAGAAATCTCGGTAAGGTAAAGATCAGGCTTCCATGACAAGGATTGTTAAGAATAGTGAGGCGACAATGGAGACGTCTCACTCCATTTCAATCAATCTTGTGACGAAGCTATCCGCAAAGATATGTCGTGATAAGATGGATTTTTTATGGGTATTTTGATCTTTCAAAAAATATGAATATATTTGTTAAATAAATTTATGATCCCACCATTATATGCATACCTAACATACTTTTAAAATTCACTTTCACTTTTATTTTCACTTTTACTTTCACTTCTATTTTCAATTTTCATAAAAACTCTTCCCTTTTACCAAAGAGGTCATCAGCTTTTTATATAGTAGTGTAAGAAAATAAAAAAAAAATTTTGTATTTGTAAGTGTTGTGAATCCCGACAAGAAGAATAACTATAGCTATCTATTACGTTACAAGAGTGGAAAGAAAACTTTGAAACCAAACATTCACTTCAAATTATTCAAGCCCGGAACTGTCATACATATGATACAAAAACCACAAATTTACAATACATGTACGTTAAAATGTCAAGTCAACCATTTAAACAAAGTAGAACTATACAAACGAAGTTCAATCCCTCATGAGTTGTCCAATTGTGATGGTGTGAAATTGATCCTCTAAATAAAATCTTGGAGTTCTTGCAAGCTCCGTAGATACTTGTTCCATGGTTGGACGAGACTGAGGATTCTCATTCAAACAGGACCATGCTATTTTTGCAACTAGGATCACCTCATCTAGGATTGGTTTTGTGAGGGGAGAAAGTCGTGGGTCTAACACATCCTTCAACAACAAATCATCACCAGTTGATCCCTCCATCAAAGATGAAATAAGTTCTCCTGGATGTATTCCCATGATGATTTCTAAAGTCAACACTCCAAAACTATAAACATCACATTTCTCATTGGCTTCCATGATGAAAGCTATCTCTGCAACAGATTTAATGTTACATGTATATATATCCATAATATAGCGAAGAGTAGTACTTTGTTAAAAGAAAAAAAAAAAAAAAACCGAAGAGGTTACCTGGTGCAGCGTACCCAAATGTGCCGACAAATGTGGTCATATTTTTTGAGTCAGGATTCAAAAGCTTTGCAGTTCCAAAGTCAATGATGTGAGCTTCTTCATATTCAGAACCTAGAAGAATATTCTTGCTTGATATGTCACGATGAACAATAGGAATTGAACAGCCATGATGCATATAGAATAATGCATTAGCCACACCTTTAACAGCATTCACCCTCTTCTTCCAATCAAATTCAGTGGCTTGTTTCTCATTCTTTAGTATGTTATCCAAGCTGCCACCTTCCAAGAACTCATAAACCAAGATGGAGAATTGAGCATTGGAATAAAACCCATATAGCTTCACAATGTTACGATGCTTGAGTTCTGTCAAAGCCTGAAGCTCACTTGTAAAAGCTTTCTGGTTGGAGATTTCTCCACCAAAAGAGTGAAGCTTCTTTACAGCAACAACATCACCAGTAGGCAACTCAGCCCTGTAAACATTTCCTTGGCTGCCTTTCCCAATAAGATATTTGTCATCAAATTCCTTTGTGGCTTCGATGATATCTTCATACAATATTTCTCTTTCAAGATTCCATATAGAATAAACCTCGTCTGGTGGTGCTTGTCCATCTTTGCTTTTTGCTATTCGGTAAAAAATGTAAGATGCTCCAACAAGTACTAATAGCAGTATGGCCAATGGGAGGAATATTATCACGAACTTTTTACTCCCATGGCTATGTCCATTTAGTTTGGAATCACCACACCGACTTAAACCAGTGACATTACCACACAAACCTTTATTATTCCTCAATGCATCAAACTTGTAAAAGGCTGAGTTTTTAGGAAGGCGGCCTTCTAATTGATTGTTTGATATGTCAACAGTAGACAAAGCTGACATTGGACCGAAAATGGAAGAAATGGTGCCAGAGAGATGATTATGTGAGAGGTTCAATACTCGCAACTTGGGTAACATTCCAAGTGTAGCTGGTATTGTTCCAATCAGCAAATTGTCACTAAGATCAAGTTGCTCAAGATCTTTGAGTTCACGAAACTCAAGGGGAATGCTTTCATCAAATCTGTTTTTGCTCAAATTCAAGAAAATTAAGCTTTTTAATTCTCCAATCTCTCTTATGATTGAGCCACTGAAATTATTTGCTTCCAACTCCAAAATTGTAAGTTGACTAAGTGATCTTATATCTGAGGGGACATTACCTGAAAAGTTATTGTGGCTCAGAGAGAGAATTTTCAACGAGACCAACTTCCCTAATTCTTTTGGAATTTTTCCAGATAAATGATTTGAAGCCAAGCCAACTTCACCAAGCTTACTTGCCTCTCCCAATTCTTGTGGTATGCCACCAGAAAGCTCGTTATTGTGAATAATCAATTGTGTGAGGTTTTGACACTTCCCCCACGTGGATGAAAGGCAGCCATACAATTTATTGCCACTCAGGTTGATGTAGTTCAAACTAGGATATGCTCCAAAAGCATTTGTTATGTTATCAACTAACTGGTTATTATCAAGCTTGAGTCTTTCTAGACTAGTACAATTCTTCAAACTTGTTGGAATAGGACCAATGAAATGGTTAGCATCAGCAGCAAACCGGTATAAAGTCCCACTTTGACAAATTTGTTGTGGCAAAGGGCCAGTGAAGTGATTATCACTCAGTTGTATGTTATACAAAGCTGTCAAATTATTCATTTCTTGCGGAAGTTGACCAGTGAGATTGTTGATGTCCAAGGCTAGGATGGTGAGCATGGTCAAATTTCCTATGGTGGAAGGAATGGATCCAGAAAGACTGTTGTTGTAAAGATAGACCTGATCTAAATTGACCAAGTTACCAATGGATGAAGGAATTGGACCGAAAAATCTGTTCTCATACATGAGCAATAATGCGAGATTTGTTAGGTTTCCTATACAGGGAGAGAGTGGCCCGGAAAGTCTATTAGAATACAAATAAACGATACTGAGAGAATAGAGTTTCCAGAATCCATTAGGAATAGGACCTGAGATATTGTTCTCATAAAGATAAATTTCTTGTAACTTGGTCAAGTTTCCAATTGATGATGGGATTCTACCTGACAGAGGGTTGTGTCCCAAATGAAGCATCAAAAGATTATTCAGCATTCCAATCTCTTCTGGAATGGGACCAGAAAGGAAATTTTCTCCAAGTGATAGGGACGTCAAATTCCTCAAATTGCCAATTTCATGGGGAATTTGCCCTCTAAAACGACATGTACTATGATCAAGACTATTTAGAGTGGTCAGTTTCCATATTTCAGGAGGGATGGGACCACCAAGTAAATTATCCGACAAACTCAAATTCAAAATACTGGACAAGTTACCAATTTTGCGGGGAATGCTTCCATAAATTATGTTGTTACTTACATCAAAATATTTCACATTAGGAAAGGAAGCGAAGTTGAGACGGTCAAGTGTGCCTTGGAGGCTGAGATATGACAGATTTACACTGATCACAGACAAAGATACATCACATGAAATCCCCTTCCAGTGTCCACAAGGATCAGTGTCATTGTTCCACGTAGACAAGGTTGCTTGGCTATGGTCGTTCAGGCTGGCTTTCCAGTTCAACAGAGCTTTTGCTTCGCTATCTTCAGTAGCAACAGATGCAAAGGAAGCAACAAAGAAGAATATGCAGAGAATAATACACCGTACTTCTAACATGGTTCTCAGTAAAGTTTTCGAATCAGGAATATATTCAAAGACTGAATATTAGTTCAATCGACAGGTGATGAGTTGGTGGCTGTAAATGGTGGGTTTGTGAAGCTTGCTGGGGTAAAGCTCATGTTGATGATACAGACCTTATACTATGGACTGGCCCTGCAGGTTCAACGGAGCTTTTTTTTTCCCCCCCCTTATCGTAATATCCAAGTGTGGAGGGACATAAAGTAGATAATGATCTGATCTGTTAAAGTTTTCCTTTTTGAAGTTGAGGAAGTCTCGCTTTGTTCTTTATCGCTTTCTCATAATAAGCAAGAGGAAAACATTATTGTTTCCCCAACGCGTTTTGAACTTCAGAAACGGCTTGATTAAAAGGATCTGTTTGGCTTTGTCTCCACGCTTATATCCATCAACTTTACAATATATTTTTGGAGGAAATTCATTGTCCCAAAATATAGTATACTTTTAAAAAAATAAGATTTCATTAATAGTATTTTTTTAATATTATCATTCCCATTACATTTTCTCTTTTTAATATTATTTTACAAATGAAATATTAAATGAAGGACATTTTTAAAAGTTTATATTTTTATTTTTTAAAAAATAAAGTTATAAAATGTATTTAATGAGATTTATTAGTACGCATAATTTTGTTTAAAAATATTTTATAAATTGAGATGGAATGAGTACTAAATAATTGCGTTGGAGAAGGACCTGAATTAGGAGATACAAGGCAACTTAATTTAAAATAAATAATTCAAAAACAAAACATTAATAATTTAACAATTAAAAAATGATTGCATCCAACCCAAAAAGGTAAACATATAAGTGTAAGTGATGCTCTTTTTTTTTTCTTTTGGGAAAATTGTGTTGAATAGGTTAATATAGTCTTTTATGTAAATATGGTATTTGCATATATCTCATCTCAATCATTAGGATGATGATGAATTTTTAATCTTTTTCCCCGGATCTAATGGTATATTTTCTAGATTGATTCCAGTTTATTGTTATTTATAAAGTGATGACTAACAAGATTTTAATGAAAGATTGTTACTCATCTCTTGAAAATTTCCTTTTCAAACGTCTTTCCATTTTCTATTTAAGAATACTGCTCAAAAATATGTATAATCACTTATTTATAAGTGAAAAATGTCAAAACTATATAAATAAAATATATATCTCATCACACCAAAAAAAGTATATATCTCAAAATTTTCAAGAATATCAGAAAAAACTATTTATTTGTTTAAGAGAAATTATCAACAATAGATTTTTCCTTTTTTCTTAACTTAACGATTTGGATTTCCAAATCTTTTGATCCTTATTAAAGTTTAATGTAATATTTCAATCCTTTAATGTTATTCTCTAAACTTATATAATAAACAATTAATATTAACAAAAAAAATTAAAAACTTAAAATCTTATATGTGGCCAAGTCAAGTTAAGATGGCTAGACTCCAATCTAGTGCCACACCTAAACCTGACTCGAGCCAGATTGCACACAAGCACAAGATGAAGCAAATAAGGCTTATTAATAAAGGTTAGTCTAATTGATAGGAATTTGACTTTACTACTACAAAATAAGTTTACAGGAGTGCTTTTTTTTTTTACCTTAAGGAGCGCTTCAAAAGCACTTTCATATCGAGCGCTTCGAAATGTACAGGAGCACTTAAAAAAAGTGCTCCTATATGTACGCTATACAGGAGCGCTTTTCGAAAAGCGCTCCCGTAAGGGAGCTCCGATATATAAGGGCACACATCATACATGGAAGCTCTCTCTACAAGAGCGCTCCTGTACGCTGCCATACCGGAGCGCTCCCGTAAAAGAGGGCTTCGGTATGTGCCGTATAGGAGCGCTCTAGAAGATCTGATCTTCCGGAGCGCTCCTTCATGAGCGCTCTAGAAGAGCGCTCCTAAATAGTATCTTCCGGAGCGCTGAAGTACGAGCGCTCCCGAAGGTCTTTTTAAATTTTTTATAATATTTTATTTATATTAATTAGGAGCGTTATTTTATTGAAAAGCCTGACATACAGGAGTGCTTATTTAGAAAAGTGTTCCGGTAAATTCAGCATTCACATTTTAGAGCGCTTATTTAAAAAGCGCTCCTAAATACCCGCTCCTAAAAATATATTATGTAGTAGTGCTTATAACCTACAATGTTATGGGATCAAATCCTTATACTAATATGAAAGATCTTACTATGGATGATATATAAGTATCTTTGTAAATGTTTTTTTGTACTTGGAGACATGCACCACCTAAACTTTCATTTATCAAATTAAAAAAAAATCACGTCATCATAGTTTTTTAAGGAAAAATTAATCTTTTAGTCTTTCAACTTTTAACTCACTTGTAACTCAGTTCCTCAACTATGACTCGCTGCGACTCAATCCCTCAACTATAACTCACTGCAACTCAGTCCCTCAACTTTTGATTTACCTGTAACTCGGTCCTTATTTTTTAATTTTTTTAAAAATTTTTTATCAAATAAGAGGGATAAAAAAATACTCATATATTATTTTAAAATACCCTTTTCTTATTCATTAATGTGAGATATAAGCTAACATAAAAAAAAATTAACAAAGGTTAAGGGACTAATTTATAAGTGATTTAAAAGTTGAGAGACTGAGTAATAAACGAGTTATAGTTAATGGACTGAGTTATAAATGATTTAAAAGTTAGAGAATGAAAAGATTAATTTTTCTTTTTTTTTTAATTTAAATGCACATCTCCGTAGTGGTAGTCAGTAGCAATTATTCTGCAACGAAGGCAGAAGTTGCCTATTTAATTAGTAGCGGCATCACGCTCGCTTTTCTCACCTCGTTTTTAGAAAAAAGCAACCATTGCTTCAGACACAATCATTGCTTAGTAATTTAAGATTTTCTCGAAGACTTGATAATGCAATTCATCATTTCTTATCAGTTACTTTTAGTTTACTAATTAAAAATTTTAAGAAAATTACATTGAATTACCCACAATATAATTAAATATTATAAGATTCATTAAATATAACAAAATATCAACTAAAATTGTTGTCATTTCAGTATGCTAAGTTTTCAATGAATCTTTTTTTTTTTATCACTTGATATCTTGAAAAATTTAGAGGTACTGTCACCTTTTACCTAAACTAATTTGAACTTTTATTGTGTGGATCGTTATTATCAATAATAGCCTTATGAATACTTTAAGAATGTCTTTAACATATTTATTTAACGCAATTGTATATTCCTTAACGTGAACCTTGTAAAATTTAACTATGATATGGGAGACTTATATGTAATTCTCTATGAATTTTATTTGGCACAGCGTATTTGAGTTATTTATTACTATTAATTTGATTTTTAATATAATTATTTAATATTCAGTATTTGGGCAAATTTCTTTCAAATATGCTAGTAAATGGCGTGACATGTTAAAAATATCTCACAATTTCTTTTAACTCAAACTAATTTTGAGAAATAGAGAAAGAACTCATTTGTTGGCAATAGGTACTGGCAGACCTTAGGGCCCTAAACCAGTGAGAAAAACCTAATTAAAAATAAAAAATATTAACATATGAAACTAAGCTACCGCCTCATAGATTTTCTATATAATCAAATAATTTACATTCCTTATAATTGTTGTTGACATGGTTTCATATTTTAAAATTTTTGAATAATCAACTACACAAACCTTAGGGCACAATCAAAGAAATACAGAAATATTAGCATGTGTCTGAGTCACGGGTTACCAAATATAAACTAGATTTCTGCCCCGTATAATGCACAAGAATATTTTAGTTTTTAAAAGTAAAAATAAAAATAAATATTAAAAATTTTTTTAGTGTTCTTAAGATAAAAAAGATTACTTTCTCCTCTATTTTAAGAGCCAAAATATAAAAATACATTTTACAAGTTATCATTTTCATTTATTTAATCATTAGTTGAGAGTTGTTGGACTAAAATATCATTTTTGACGTATTGTTTTAAATTTTTATTCATATTTTAAATTTATTAGTTATACAAGCTAATTTATTTAGTTTTTTTAAAAAAATTAAATACATACTCCCTCTTTTAAAAAATTTAAGGTAATTTTAACCGAGTCTCACCTCTCAATAAAATAATTAATTATTTTTAAATTAATATAAATTTTTATATTTATTCTTATTTAATAAAGTATTTCAATCATTTTACCAAATTATTAATGTCATAAAAATTTTTAAAAATTTAAGAAAAGTTATAACATTTTACGAGCTTCATTCTCATTTATATTTCAAGAAAATTTTTCTATCATTTTTTTTTCCATTTGATGAATAGGAAAAAGTAAGTGAAATAAATTAAAACAAAAAGCATACGGGTAGTTGTTCTTTCGTTTTCCGAGCTGCTGAGAGAGTAGCTCAACTACTTTTCTTTACTTTTTGTTTGTAATTTTTTATTTTATTTAATAAAATTTGTTTTTTTATAAAAAAAATTTATGAAATGGACGAAAAAAAATGTGCTCCCCTTATTCTCTTTATAAATCATTTTTATTAATTTCATTTATATAAATATAAAAAAATATAAAAAATAAAAATATATAAAATTTTAAATATACTCTTATATAACAAATTTTAAAAGTAATCTCATGTTATTTTTTTTCTTTCATAACAAATAATTTTAAAAATATTTTTTAAATATTAGTTAAAAAATTACACCGTAACTTATAAAAAAAATTAAATAAATATTATAAAATATAACTAATAAATGAGACCGGAGTATTTATAAAGAAAAGATGAATAAAGTAACGTGTAGCCAACTATTATACGTGTTGCTGCCCTTAGCGAGGAATAACAAACATTTAATTTACATATAATTAAGTAACGTGTGTTTAAAGAATATTATCTTTCAATTAATTAATGTTTTTGGTTTTGGCCAACTTTTGATTTATTAGTAGCTTTATCTTTTATATGTAAATATGTATACACATAAAGAATACAGCAGTTTTATTTAAAAACATTAAGGAATATTTAACAACAATGATTGTGAT